AAATCAAGCAATCGCATCAAGAACAACAGCTCTCAGTTATATAGACATGAAAAGTTGAAGATAGCTAATATCCGTTAAGATTAGTTTGCAAGCAATTTATAGCTGCCTCTTCAAGAGAAATTATAAGAATAAACGTTTTCAATCCCGAGGATTGGTTTTACATTTTTAAGTACTTTGTACAAAAATACAGAAAGCATTACTTCGGACGCAATATCTCTGTGAAATAAATAAAATGTTAATTATTTTCGAACTATTTCTTTCTACATAATAAAAATAAAGATGTCTCATATTGTAGTCAGGACCGTTTTGTTGACGTTTTCATTGACTGGATAAATCACACGATAGGATCTAGTTTCCCCTCATTGACTTCCATATGTTTTTTGTTGTCATCAGCACAAAATTATTTAAAGTCTCGTGTGTAGTTATGTGTGTACCCCCAACTAAAATATTTACCTGTAATATTTATTTTTCTTATTATACTCTGCTATTATTAAGCATTTAATTTTGATTGTCTTCTAAATTAAAAGAGTTAAAACAAAAAGAGTTGTTTCCTTATTATGACGTAAATCTTTATACCTTATATTATGCTGCATTTTAAAATAAACTTATTTGAATCGGTGTCTAAACCGATTAACCGTTTTATAATTTGTATTATTTTTTGATGCAAATTACATTAATATGCTGTTATAAATTATAGTTAAACAGATTCGTTAAATACTTAATCAATTCGATCAGCTTCATGCACATTGCTATAATGCATGCTCAAATTGTATTTAATATATCAGCGTATTAAGGTAAGCGAAAGTATTAGATAACGGTTGTAAACTCACCAAATTTGTCACAACAATAAACCTGAAATTTTAAATTTTAATTTTAAAAAATGATTACTGAGCAAAATTATTCATTTTCACTAATAGATCTCAATATAATCCTAACAGAAATGTTTGGACTTGGGAAACGTAAACAAACACAGTTCTTTTTAGTACATATGTGAATAATTTCAACTTTCGTAGAAAAACTTTTATGCCAACGCTATAAAAAACTCTTGGTCAAATAATTTAAGAATTATTATAGGGGGTTGGCAAACGACAGCGAGTAGGGAGTGGAGCCCTCTAGTAAAATAGTAAAAGCTGTTTCGGATAGAGTTTCTATTGCTTAGAATCTGCTATAGTGCTTCAAATAAAATAACTATTCCAAGATCCTTCTGTATGCAATGCGCTTGAATTGAAAGAATAATTCTGGTGTTTTTAAAATCTAGAATGTCCAATGAGAAGGATCCGTATTAGCAATAACTATCGAAGGTGAATGAGAAGTATTAAACTGAAAATGCATCTGTAAATAATCGTATTTGAAATAATTGTATAATTTAGAAAAATATTTGTACAATGTAAAAAAAATTGTCTATTGTGCATTGAAGGAGACAAAATTGTTCAATGCCCAATATAATATACAAAATTGTACAATAAAGATTTTTAAAAAAATCACTTGTGATATGTATTTAAAATTATGTGGATTATTTTGTTATGACTTACTTATTGATTGACTTACATCACTTTACTTCAAAAAAACTTACATAAAAGCATATCTTAATGGTTCATAAAGATATTCTTCTTCAACAATGCATTTTGATAACAATTCCTTCATCGAAATGTATGTCAAATATTTACTGACAAGATGGTATACTTTGATGCAAGCTCTATTGAAGCTAATTAGTGTAAGTCAACTTGGGACTCAGGTATTTTGTATTGACTACCATTAATATATATGTTCGACGCCCGGTGGCTGAGCGGTAGCGCTTCGCGCTGTCGTGCCACAGGTCCCTGGTTCGATCCTCGGGCCGGGCAGGGTTGACTCAGCCTTTCATCCCTTCAGTGGGTCGATAAATGAGTACCAAGCATGCTTGGGAACTAAACACTGGGGGTTCCGCGTTCGGCAGACCACCTGACCGGAACATCTGCTCCTGCACCCCAGAGCCCAAGGTCAAGAAAACTGAGATGGGCACAGTAGGCCTTGGCCCTCTATGGGCTGTCGCGCCACTGAGTTTAGTTTAGTTAATATATATGTTCAGTTAAAGATGAAGTAAAATAAATACATCTATTAGGGGTCGCAAATTAATATTTAAATGAGTAAAAAATAGTTCAAACACTTGAAGTCGGGAAAAAGCTAGGATCATCAAAATCAGTTTATTTACTAAGTGGGAGAGAATTTCAATTTCCCATTGAATTTAATAGAGATAGTTCAAAAACTTCTTGAATTTAATAGAGATAGTTCAAAAACGTAAAACTTCTTTTTGCTACGTTTACTGTTCGAATACTAAAATTTGCAAAAAGAAACTTTTCAATTTCCTTATTCTTTTTTTCTACAATTCTAGTTTTTTTAGTTTTGTAAATGGAAAATTATTGTATTAAAATAATGATAAACGCTTGAATTTTTTCTTCTTTTTTTACCTTTAGAATTTCATTTATGAATTTGTTAGTTTTTTTTCTCAAGTAACCAGGGTGATTAAATAGGAATAAAAACGATTGTTAAAAGAATTAATTTTATGAAATTGTAATTTTTGAATTGACAATGGAATTATTTCAAGAATACTGAGTATAGTATGTAAACTTATACCAAATGTAAACTTATATCAAACGTAAACTCAATCAAAATGCATGTAAACTTATATCAAATACATTTCTTACCTTTTTTTTTCGTTGAGATGCGTTTAAGTTTGTTATTTACTTTGTTAATTTCAAGCATTAAAGTAACATTAAACAATTTAAATTAATTAATAAAGTTAAAATAAATATAAAAAACCTATAAAGACTGGAAGAATAAATATTGCGAGCCATAATTATTATCAACGGTGCTAAAAAGGCATACTCATCATCTTACTACAAGTTCTCGAGTAGTCCTTTAACTTTTTTAAATATTTTTTTTAATATTTGCTTAAAGAAATTTAGAAACAGATGAAATTAAAATTCATTAATAATGTTAGTGATCATCAAATCTCAATGATGATTGATCTAATTAACCTTATTTTTTTTCAAAAACAATGTAACATTAAAAGGAGAAAGAAGTTGTTTCTAGAGAAAAAAAATGTACCTTTCTTTTATGTGTAAAACTATAATTTGAATATACTCTAATTTTGAGCTATTGGAGTAATTTCATAAAGTTATAGGACTTCAAAATTCGGACATTGGATGTTTTTTTGCATTTACATTGTATTGCAATAAACAAACAATTCGTGTTGTAAACTTTGAGATTGTACACAGTTTTAGATCTTTCTTAAAATTTTTTAAGAAGATGGTTCTTTTTATACACGTTCTTTTTCTTTAATGACCATAGTACTTTTAACTTCTGAGTTATTAAATTAAGAAAAAGTTGTATATTAAAGATTTGATTTTGTTCACATTTAAAATTATTTTCTTTAATATGTAAAAATTTTGTACCTTATAATTTATCATTTTTTTCGGCTATTATTAAATAAAATAATAAAAAAATAGTGAATGATTATTGAAAATTATTATTATTATTATTATTGCTTGAAATTACTTTTGGATAAGCGAATTTTATAATTGTATACAAAAACTTTTCGATTCACTTAAAAAGTTCTCGAGATATGACGAAAAACGTAAAATTTATATTAGGGGGCTCAAACTTTTGACCTCTCTCCCGCCTAAACAGTTGCATATTTTCTAGAGTGTGTCCTCCCCCCCCCCTCCCTCCTATATTTTGCGGTATATAAAATCCGTTTTTATGTTTGATTTCATAACTTAAAATATCATCAGCACTAATTAATTAGCATATTTAGGGTTAGATCCTAGTGCGATATAGAGTTCTAGTGTGGTACTGATAATCCGATCATTAGATCAAAGTAGAGCCCCTGAATTAGACTGATAGTATAGGAGCCTTAGATCAAAGTTATTCAGGATGATCCTTTTTGATTTATTTATTATTTTTTTCCCAAACTGCGCATGATTATGACTCGATTTTCATGAGCCATAGGGCCTTGTAAAAATTGGTTTTTCTTTCTAATTTTTAAGTACCGAATGGCTTTGGGAATTTACCATTGGAAGTAAATTTAGCGTTTGAAGTAGCTTTAAGAATTCAAATTATAGTTTTGCAATTTGTTTATTTAATATTATTACTTATTTATTTATTTATTATTTTAAACCTTATTGGATTAAAGAAAAAAAAAATTTTTTTTGTCAGAAAATTTATGTTTGAAAAAATATTAAATTCGAAAAAGCTCCCTCAAAATATCAAAGTCAAAAATTTAAAAGCTCATTAAGACATTTACTTAAAAAACTGTTTTGATGAATGCAAACAGTTAATGCTTCCTTAGAGAGGAACGAAGGGCTTTTCTTGTAATATTGCTCGGGATATGTTTTCAAAAACACATTTTGCTGCTTTTTTAAAAAGAAATAATATAGTTAATTGATCAGACATTTCAAAATCTCAGGTCTCTCTATCTTATATTGCAGGGCAAATAAATAAAACATAAAAAAAATAAAAGTCAATATTTTAGTGGGCAAATTTAATTTAAAGAATCTCAGTAAAAAATTGTATCTTGAGAAATATTTTGAATAAAATTTTCTTCCTGTTTTAATTATTTATGTATTTTTTAGATTGCTTTAAATTTAAATAACATAACACACATGCTTATTCATGTTCATCTGAGTACAAGTTTGTAAAAAGTGATATTTTTTCAACTGCTTTAACCAATGGCCTTTTTCTAGCTGCTTTAACAACCTCCTGAACTAAGGAAAAACACCGAAAACAAAAATTATAGAAAGAACTGATAGCAAGTTACAATCAACAGTCACAGTTTCGAACTTGATCAAATAAAATTAATTTAGAAGAATTTTTCGGTGTATTTTTAACTTCTTTTAATTGTTTAAATGTCCTAAATGCTGATGATCAAGAATTACCCTCTCTGGTATAAATATTCTATACCATAATAATAATAATGAAAAAAAAATTTAAATTTTTATATCGATACATGTGATACTGAAAAAGTATCGATTAATCGAAATCTGGTATGGTGTTTGTGTTGATGTCTGTCGGCGCTAAAAGTGATACTGGAACTTTATATTTAAACTTTTATTTTGAGCTTCATATACTTTAAAGTTGGATGAGCTTAATTTTGTAACAATTTTTAAATAAAATGGCTTATAATTATGTTGTTACGGCCCACAAGCCAACGGGTGTTGGAGCATGCGTTACAGGTATAAGAATAGAAAGTCTGTAATTTGCGTGTTGCTATGGCTAATAAAATCTCTCTGCATGATTTTTACAGATTCTAGGCCAGTAAACATTGAATGAAAGCACAATTAATAGAAAGCATGTCTTTTTGGTTACATGTAAATAAAAAATTTTCATCCCTGTAAATTTTAAAAATATGAGTACTATAAACACATGTTATTTTGTAAACAGAGAATATGTTCAAATTTTTTAAGAGTTACTCTGATGCTTGATGTCGTTTTAGTGTTACTAAACTTCAAGCAGTCTACTTTATGAAATTGTTTCTTTCCTGCTCCATTTGTAGATAGATTTTTAAAAAAAAAATTTGTAACATAACTCTTTACCTTGTGCTTATCTTCTCCAGGGTACGAATCCACACTTGTTTTACAGTTTATGTTATCTATTGAAATGCTTCTTTGTCTTTACTACTAATAAGCTACTTGATCTATTGCTAGATCTTTTTGATTAATAAATTGAACATTCCTGTTTCCTAAATTACCTCCTGTGCCTAGATTTTTTTCAAAATTTAAGTTACACAATCTTTATTGCAGGAAGATTAGTGTATCGAAGCCTGTGTCAATAAAGTCACTTAATTTCTGTGGCATTCGAGACACTAGGAGGGCGGAAAGCATCACAGATTTAAAAACATTTTTGCAAATTAATGGGAATGTTTCCGCATCAGTACCTACTATCACGGAGGCATCAAATCGTTTTTGTTGGAAAAAATTTGAAAACAATATGTTGTGGTTTAACCAAGGTTGGCTATGAGTGCCTCTTACACCCGTAAAGATGGTTTACTTCTGTGAAGTATCTTTTTTCGTTTCCTGCATGCCACTGCCTGATTAGTCGCCAAAGCTTAGTGATTATTCTAATTTTCTCTCCCAACTATTAATAAAATAGTAAAATAACTTTAATTTGATTTTGTAAGTTTAAAGTTTGGTTATAATTTTGTCTACATGCTATTTTTTTTAGTGCTAGTTATTTTTGTCCCCTGAGATGTGCAATTACTTATTAACTTATTTTTTATTTTGTTTCTTCTACAATTTTCGATGTATGCTACACATTATTGTGTGTTTGGTAGAATTGCTACTATGGGTAAAACAATTTCATCTCAATCTATATAATTGCTTTAGCATGAATATCTGTTTTAAAGTTTTAAAAAAATATGTATACTTTTCTTTACAAATTCATATATATTAAAAAAATGTGTTAGAAAGTTAAATAAACATTTTACTACACTCAATAGAGGCCTCTACATGCTAGCAAAAGATATGCTAGAAACTCTATAATTGTAAGCTTGCTTTAGCAAAGACATAATAGCAGAAAAAGAATTTCAAACTTGAAAATTCTTTCACATCAAGAATTATCATTCTATTATTTCTATTTATCCAATCAATGCCGAAATTCTGGTGGGCCACCTGACGATGTTCCCCCATCTACCTTCCTGTCCTGATAAAAACACTTGAAATAAAAAGTTATATTCATTATTTCAATTTGAAAACAGCATCTATAAATTTGTTATGAATAAATTTTTTTTAATTGTGAAAAAATTCATAATTCATATAAAATTGACCGATTGCTGAAAATTACAACTTTACATAATTTTATTGAGGCATTTTCTTCTTGCTGACGTGAATATTTTGTCTCATAAGCAATGCGGGTTAGAAAAAAAATCTGTTTCTTAACAAAAAATCCTAGAAACCCAGTTTTTTTTAAAAATCAGGTTTGTTTGTTTTTTGTTTATGTATAAAACGATGGGTAAAATTATGCTATAAATAAAAAGCAACTAAGCTATTATAAAGCATAATCAGGAAAACTTTTTCAACTATTAATTAATATTATCAATAAAGAATTAAAAAATATCCACTTTTCTTCCATAACCGTACTAACATGATAAGAAAGAATAATTGTAGCTTTTGAATGTATGATTATAGAATGTGTTACATTTCAACTTAACATACAAATAAAATTTTAACATCAAAATGTTATGTTAGTAGTGTATGTAAAAAAATGAGCTCCCTTTGTTTGTCAGTATTTATGAAATGTTATACTTTAGCATCATTTAATACCATTAATTAGCAATATTCAGTCTACAACAATCTGTATCAATTTACTTATTAAAGTAATTGTGTCCTTTTTTTCATAAAAAAATGAAAAGTTATATTTTTTAATTAAAATTTTTTCCGAAAATTATGAGATTTTCGATGATTTAATAATAAATAAGAGTAAATTATTATTTTTTTTTTAGATTTATTTCAACAGAATGAAGCTTTAAGCATAACAATGCTTATAAGTAATTCAACATTAAATGAAATAAGATACACTGATAATAATTTAAATAAATTTTTAATATTTCTGAATTATACTCTTTTATGCAAACAAAGTATTTTGAAAATATTACAACCATTAAAAAAGATTATTCTCATATCAGAAAAAAATTCTAAAAATATATTGATTATTAATATATTAAGTTCAGAAAAGCACATCACTCCCATATTTATTCTTTTGATTGTTGCAAACATAATGTATTGTTTTAAAAAATTAAAAAAATACTAATAATAATAACAACATTTGATCTAAACTCTTCTATAATTGCATTTTTTAAAGAATTATCTAAGCATGGAGCTGGTGATAGTCTGTATTATTTTAGGAATTTTTAGCAAATTATGACTTAATTTTAAATATACTTGAATTAATTAGTTTTAAAAATATATTTTTTCAGAAGAGAAATATGTAAACATTTAAAAATTGCAAATCACATATGCTTATTTAAAGTAACCCAGACTCAGATATTTATTTCAAGATTAAAAAGATTTTATGGGAAAATTAACTATTTTATTATTTAGTTATATTTATACTTAAAGTACTTATATAAAAAGTTTTTTTCTTTAAAAAAAAAAACTATTAGGTTTAAACCATAAACCAGCCTTCCCTGAAGTTATGTCTTCTCTTAGTCATTAAGTTATTCCATCATTACAAACATAATATTTGCAAACTTAAAATATATTTAACTCACTTAAGATTTATTGTTTCGATATTTTTTGTCAAAATGATTATTGACGCTATTTGCACTTACTGTTATTTTTATTAACTTATGGAAATTTAAAATTTCTTTAAACGGTAAACTTATATCCTTTCAGTTTTTAAATATCTATACATTAATAAAAAATTCTAAAAAAGTGTAAAAAACACTTGAAGTTATTGTAACATAAATTATTAAACTGTCTTACTTTTCTATTTTTTAAATTCAATGAATTTAAAGTCTAAACTGCATTGTTACAGAAAATACAATTCTTCTGTTGCATTTAATTAGACAGACGAGGGACCATTCAAATCATACTATTTATTGCATATCTGTATACTTTTTTTAACTAAGAGAGGGAAGTTCTAAGTGAGTGAAATGTTCACCTATAATCTAATGCAGTGTTTCCCAAAGTGTGGTACGCGTACCCCTAGGGGTACGGGAGCACCCATAAGCAGAATATTTTCAAATGTTCTGCAACAGGACTTATTAATTTATACAAATGTTCTGCAAACATTTCACAGCGAAAAAAAGTAATCTTTACGTTAAAATACAATATATTTTCATTTATTAAAATACAGGATCATACACAGATACACTACATTATTTTTTAAACCGAGGCAAACATTCTTGATTTGTTACTTTTTCAATCACTTTTGAAGTGCAAAATTTTGTTAATGACGATGATGATGATGAATTATTAATAAAATGCCTATGATATGAAGGTCCGAACATTAAAATAAGGGCTGCCTTAAAAATCTGTAGAAGAATGTATGAAATTAGGGTTGGGGATTGTTCTGCAAGACTACCGGAGCTCGCAGGAAAACGCTGTCAATTATTCAAAATACAAATTGTTCTGCAAGGCTTCGTTTGTTCTGCCACGTACGTCACAGTTATAGGCACTTTCTGCTTTTGGGCGGGAGCAGTTTAGCGGGGGTAGGTGTTCTTATGCGAAACATCTTGCAACAAACAAAAATTTTTAAAAAAATATTTAAAAACAAAGCCAGCCATGAAAATCTACAATTACGTATTTTTCTATTGGCTATTTTTTGCAGAGTTAACAGTTCATAACTAGCGGTCTCAACAGCCAGTTGTGATTTTTAACTTTTGTGCAATTTTTTAGAGTAAAAAATACATTAATCTTCTTATTAGTGGTACACAGCGTTACGAAAAATTTAGAAAGGGAACGCAAAAGTCATAAGTTTTGGAAACACTGATCTAATGTAATCCTTTTAATTTTGAATAAAATAATTTTCAATAAGTTTTTGAAAAATTCCTCATTAAATCAAATTGCTCATAAACAACTTTTCTATATATATATATATTTTTTTTATCATTAAGCTAACCATTTTTTTTAGAAAACAAAATTTTTTCTTTGCTTACACCTGGAATTTTGTTTCATTACAGCTGACTCTACTTAACTTGTTTGACAGCAAAATGAAAAATTTATTTTTTCATTATAATAAACAAAATGTATAGAACATTTAATTTTATACATAGTATTATGTATACAAAATAATTTTGGTTTTTAAAATACCCTTATCAAAGCTACTGGACGAATGACATGACTTTACAACCGCCTGATGAAATTTTATAGAAATCGTCCAATGGTTGGTGAGAATGATTTTACTATGAAGATATGGTTTTAGACATGTGTTTGCAAAAAAGGGACATTTATGAAGATCATTAACATCTTATTTAAAACTTCATAATTAATTTTTTAAAATAATATCTATAGTCTAATTCAGGAGTGTCAAACTCAAAAGCTAACTTGGGCCAAATAAACAATGCTTAACTTTAGGTGGGACGCAAAAAAAAAAAAAAAAAA